ATTAAGGCTCAAACCCATAACCTCCCACATAAAGGAATAACTTGGTGCCAGTGGACCACAATATTACATGTTTTTTTTTATTTGCAAATTTTATTTAAATACGTTAGCTATATAAATAAATTAGTTATTTCAAATTCAAATTCAAATGCAAATAATAATAAAATATAAATAACAATAAACTTTAAAATCAACATAATAATAACATATAATTAAACTTTTAAAAATATTAAATATTACATGTTTTTTTTTTATTTGCAAATTTTATTTAAATACGTTAGCTATATAAATAAATTAGTTATTTCAAATTCAAATTCAAATGCAAATAATAATAATAATATAAATAACAATAAACTTTAAAATCAACATAATAATAACATATAATTAAACTTTTAAAAATATTAAATATTACATTGTATAGATATACTTACATTTTAAATAAAACTAATTCTGCTTAGTATCATAACATTACAACAATATCTATAAATTTTTGTCCGTGCATCGCACAAGGCAAATCCTATTAATTAATTAATTAATTAATTAATAATAATAATAATAATAATAATAATAATAATAATAATAATAATAATAATAATAATAATAATAATATGAACTCTTATTTGGATAATTTGAACATTATTCAATCATAGCGATCTTGTGGTGACATATTTAGAAACATATCCTTCTTTATTTTTGTGTTGAACCATTCCAAAGCCTTGAAACAAGTATAACTATCTAAGTTTGGGAGTTTCTAAATTGCATCTCGACAACCATTTTTTTAAAAAAATCTTTTCTGCACCAAAATTTGAATCTCATCAACAATTAAATAAAGAGTATTATAGATAATTTATGTAACACATTAGAACAATTTGTTTCCTCGACTGAACTACTATTTTCTTCATATTTTGTCCTAATTTTTTTATTTATTTTTTTATTTTTATAATACTTAGTTGAATTTGCTTCCACATTTATCTCTTGAGGTACTAATGAAGTATATTGTGAGAATGGTGGATCTTGAGAATCTACATGTACATCATTTTGTGGAAAGTTGTCGTTAACAAAATTAAATTGTAGTTGATCAATTTTGTACTGATTATCTTATTTGAAACCGTACCATAGGTTCTTGCATCAATTTCATTTTGTATAAATCCATCGTTAACAAATTTTGTTGCTGCAGACATTAGCAAAGTCCAGCTGTTATTTGCAACAATAATACATTGTTGTTATGATTCTTTATATATAAGTATTTATGAAAGTTATGAAATATATTGTACAATTTGACATGCAGGGATGAAAAGTTTGTCTAATTTAGACTGTACAAGAAAAGAAAATTTATAGAGAGAGTTGAAAAGTTTGGATTAGATAATTAGATTTCAACTACTTATATTTCTAAGAAAAAAGTCTACAGTTTGCATATCTAATTACTTAGGGTTGGGGTTCTTCCAAAATTACTTAGGGTTGGGGTTCAGCCTTTTGGAAGAAGAAAAAAGTCTACAGAAATCCCACCAGAACCAGGTTTCCTAGTTTGCTTAAAATCCTTTTCCTATAGCTGTATGGTTGTGTTGTATTATTATTCCTTAGCCAGCTAGGTTTGTTGCTTCAATAAATATGTATAATTATTGCGCTTCAATTCCCTCTAACCAATTTGATAACTGCGTTGCGTGCGTCTAATGTCTAACGCAATGCCGGTATCCGATGTATCACCGTGGCTGCCGGAAGATATGGTGGCCGAGATTATGAGCTGGTTGCCGGTGGAATCAGTATTGAGATTCAAGTGCGTATGCAAGAAGTGGAGCCAACTCATACAGCAAGATCACTTCGACAAAATGCATCTCCGTCGCGCGGCCATGGGTTGATACTATAAAAAAAGAATACATAAATCAGTTTTGTTTGGAATTCTCCTGTATTGATATACAGAAAGGGTTACTGTTAGAACAGGAGTATCGTAAAGATCCCTCGGGAAGGCTTCGCATAAGGAATCCGGCAACAAAGCAAATGGTATACTTGAAAATTTACAACTTTAATTTTAAAAAATATAAAACAAAAAAAGGGTCAAACAAGCATTGGACTTTAGGCCTTAACCACATATGAAAAAAGAAATTAGGCATTTAAACTTTAAAATGTATGTATCAATTAAAACCAACAAATTACTCGTAAAAGCACAATGCATGTCTTAGTAATATTTTTCTTTCAATTTGTCAAAGTCTTGTTTTTCAGTGGTCGCCTACTTGAGGAAAAAGGCGACTGATACTGACTTAATTTCTTTAATTTCTCAATATTTTTCTTTCAATTTGTCAAAGTCTTGTTTTTCAACGGTCGCCTACTTGAGGAAAAAGGCGACTGACACTGACTTAATTTCTTTAATTTCTCAATCTAAAGAACGCAATCGGCTATTAGCAGTGCACTTCGAAGAATTCTCAATGGGAATATTTTTAGATTTGTGAGACCACGATGTGTTGCCAGCGCCTAAAAGACACAATCTTGCTTCCCTTGATGTTACCCCTCCGCTCCCTTGCAATACAAGATATTAAGAGAAAAAATAAAGAGAATTTTATCATGTGAAATAATAGTTAAAACGATGAGAATATAGATTGTGTTGTATTCAATACCAAAGTCTGAGAGTACAAATATATAGACACGAAATAGAGTTCTAGTCTAATACTAATAATATAGTCCTAATACTCCCCCTCAAGCACATGGTTGGCTAGTCAAAACATTGACCTTGGAACAATGTAAATTAAAACGTAAAGACGAAATAGGTTTAGTAAAAATATCCGCGATTTGATCTTTGGTTGAAATAAAGTGAACTTGTAACTCCTTCTTAGCCACTTTATCGCGAACAAAGTGATAGTCGATCTCAATGTACTTCGTACGGGCATGAAATATCGGATTAGAACATAAGTGGCTCCTAGGTTATCACACCAGAGCTTAGGCACAGAAGTTGGTGGAAAGTCAATTTACTTCATAAGAGAACCGAGCCAAGTGACCTCAGCAGAGACATCAGCCAGCCCCATGTACTCGGCTTCAGTCGAGGAACGAGCCACAGTATGTTGTTTTCGACATACCCAAGATATAAGATTTCTTCCCCAAAACACAGCGAAACCACTAGTCGACTTTTGGTCATCCGGACTGCCACACTAGTACAAAATTGAACATAGAAGATTGACCATAGGCCACTATTGTTGAAAGAATGGTTGCCTAATCTTAGCCCAAAAATTCGCGGTGGCAATTTTGTAAATAAGTGATCAATAATCCGCCACCGTTGTTAGTTGTAATGATTGTCCATTGTATTTTGTATTTATTTAAAAAAAAATGATTTATAATAGGCAAACGTTTCTAATAGAAATGGTTGCTTTAAAATAGAACTTGTTTTATAATATGCAACATTTCTAATAGAAAGGGTTGCCTAATGTTAACCCTAGATCTACACATCAGATCGAAATCGTCTCACACTACTCTCACCGTACTGCTTCAACACCTACAGATCGAAATCATCCTCTGCTCCGATCCACCGTCTGCCTAGATCGTCTGACGCCGCCACAACACCCACCACCACCACGCCGTTGGCCTGCCGCGACGCACCACCACACGCACAGCACCATCCACCGTCGCATGCCCCCACCGCAACGCACCACCACAGCCGCCATCCCCGCCGACGTCACAACCGCTTCCCCCGTCGATGCCACAGCCGCTTCCCCCGTCGACGATACAACCGCCACTGCACCACGCTGATCTGCAGGTTAGTTTTTTTTTTTTTAATTGTTATTTTAATAAATAAATAAATGTGATATTTTATTATTTTTATATATATTCTAGCTTAGGAAAGTATTCTAAGTTGCATTATTCCTTGTATCTCAGTCTAGAATTTTCACCTTTTTCTCAATTCAGTAGTTGCTTGAAGAAACATTGTTAGATAATAAATGGAGGTTCCTTTTTGAGCTTTGGTGATGTTATACTTAGTTATACATATTTTTAAATCTATTTTATCTGGAGTAATAGGAAACTAGTACTGCATATTTTAAATACTAGCTGTTGGGGAGAACTAATGGGCATCCTAAATGTGCTACTAAGTACTATGTCTTTTGTTTGTTTGTTTGTTTGTTTTTTCCTAGGAATCTAGGTACTAGCTGCTGAGTTATTGTTTTCTTACTTGAGTCAGTTTATTGTTACACTAATATTAATCCAATTTGCTCTATGCAAAATGTTTTCATCAATCTCCGTTGCCCATTTCAGAGGCCCACTTATAATTTTATATTTGTAGAGTTTATCAAAACAAAATAAGAAACCAAAAGATCAAAGTGTTGATCTATCTACTACTGGTGCACGAGCTCCCATTGTTGGTAATGATGTCTTACTGCACTTGGGGGAGAATTGCAAGTTTTTAGTGGATTTGTTGATAGGCTTTCCACTTGGTAAGTACTGTATTGAGTTGGAGCTGGATAAAGCAATCTTCCATCATCAAAACACTCGTTTTATTTTTGTGATGATGAATGATATAAAGGATTTGATGATGATGAATTGACTTAATGTCTCAATCATACAAGTGTTTATACTGTAAGTTTTTTTTTTTTAATTATTACTGTATTATATATATATATATATATGTTTACCTATATTTAGTGAAATTTCTTATTCATTATTTCTTAATTAATTTTCAGATTTCTTAATCAGTTGTGCAATCAATATGAAGTTAAGTCAATCGGATTTGTCTGTCTGACCCAGATTTCCCACACTATGCTTAAAAGCAGTTCCCGCAAAGTTATATCATATTTCGTTCACGTCATGGAGCAACACAAAGATAAAAACTTTATTTTAGCACCATATCATCAAGAGTAAGAAAATTGTTCTTATATTTTATTAATATAACTTATAACTTTATATTTGGAGTATTAGATATTGACTTTTTAATATATTTGTGCTTTTAAATGTAGCTCTCATTGGTTATTTTTGGTGATTTGCATACGGTCAAAAAACGTATGTATCTTGGATTCCTTGCCTTCTAATCTCGACATAGGTTTAATTAAAGGCTCTGTGTATTTGTAAGTAAATACTTTATTATTTATATAAGTATTTTAGTAGCTATGATATTATTTATAAATTTTTATGTATGCTTATAATTATTATAGGGCATTTCGCTCTGTTCCTACGAGTGCACGGGTTAAGAACATCAATTGGAAGCCATGCAAAGTATGTATGAAAATTGAATTTAAGTTTTAGTGTGATATTTTGAATTACAATAAGTTGTTTAAATTAGTAAAATAATATATGTATTTTGTAGTGCCCGAGACAACCGGGAGGTCATGAAGGTGGATATTATGTCATGCGATACATGTATGACATCGTGACAAAATATTCATCTGTTGATAATTTGGAAGGGGAAGTGAATTTTAAATAGAACTATGTATAGTTAAGTTATATTTTATTAATTAACATATTTAATAATTTTATTAATTAAATTTTTTGTAGGCATTTGAAAGCGATAGTCCGTATTCTCCACGACATAAATGAACTTTGTGAGCATTGGTCAAAGTTCTTCTTTTCCGAGTGCTTATAACTTTTATTTTATTGATTAAAAGTATTTTGTTTTGATGATAGTATTGAGTTGGGCATGTTTTGATGATATTATTGTATTAAAGTATGAGGATTTTAAGTGTTATTGTATTTGCATTGTGTTAAGAGTATTGTGTTTAATTTGATGATAGTATTTGCATTGTGTGTTAAAAGTATTGTTTTAAAGTGTGTTGATAGATAAATTGTATTGTGGAGTAATGTTGATAGGATTTTACTAAGCTGTAACAGGTACAGGAATTATAAAAAAAATTAGGGAATTTAATTAAATAATAATAATAATAATAAAAACTCATCCGCGACCGTTCCTAGCCTAACAGGTACAGCTAGAAATGGCCGCGTTTTACCTTTGAATTTAAAAAAAATACAATACGCGAACATTCTTGGTCAAGAACGGTCGCGTATTACCAACAATGCGCGACCATTTAGAAATGGCCGCGTAAAGTCCATGGCTTTCCGCAAACCTCGCATAGGCGACCATTGTACAATGGTCGCGTAATGTCTTTTTCAATGGTCACGTATGTGCAGTTCTGTACTAGTTCCAACCCAATCCGAATCAGAATACGCATGAATGTCAAGACAGGCAGAAGAGGATATATGAAGACCAAGATTGAGTGTCCCATTAACATACCATAGCACCCTCTTTAGGGCCGCCCAGTCTGCAGTAGTGGGAGCATGCGTGCGCTGACACAAATGATTAACACCATAAGAGAGATCAGGACGGGTTACCGTAAGATACTGTAGAGCACCTGCAACACTGCGATACTGAGTGGGGTCAGCATACGGAACTTCAGTACCGTCCACGGCTTTGGCACTCGAAACTGGCATGGCCACTGGTTTGCAATCCACCATACCTGCTCGTTTGAGAATATCCTTCATGTACCACTGCTGAGACAGAAGCATGCCTCCAGACAACGGAACAATCTCAATACCCAGAAAAAAGGAAGGCACCCCCATATCACAAACGTTAAACTCAAGAGCCAACTTATTAATAAGAGTAGTTACATGATTCGAATCAGAACCCATGATCAAAATGTCATCCACATAAACCAAAAAATATAGTCGGATATTGCCATGTGAATAAATAAATAGAGAGACATCAGTCTTGGAAGGCGAGAAGCCTACAGAAACTAGAAAATCATGCAACCGTGTGAACCAGGCACGAGGTGCTTGCTTAAGCACATACAGAGAACGCTGAAGCAAGAACACATGACCGGGCAGTGTTTTATCCTCATAGCCAGGTGGTTGGCGCATGTACACAGTCTTGGCCAAGTTGCCATTCAGAAAAGCATTGTGGATGTCCAACTGACGAATGGTCCATCCACGAGAAACTACTAAGGATAAAAGAAGGCGTACCGTAGTCGGCTTAACCACGAGACTTAAAGTCTCAAAGAAGTCATCCCTGGCAACCTGATTAAATCCCTTGGCAACTAACCGAGCCTTGTGACGCTCAATTGAACCATCACCTTTCCTCTTGGTTCTAAACACCCACTTGATTATGCACCGTATTATTATGCACCCACTTCAAAAGGGACAAGCTGCCACGTATTATTATGCACCAGGGCGTTAAACTCCGAGTCCATCGCATCACGCCACTCGGGATATTTAACCGCCTGAGACTAGCAGGTAGGCTCAGTAGTGTAACACCCCTAATTTTTAAAACATTTAAAACCCACGAAATAAAGGCAATTCTAACATTAATTCCCAAACAGAGCATAAACTAAGCATACGAGTTGGGGTGCTATGCCACATCCAAGCTAAAGAACTTTGATGCACAGGCTAACTGACTATACAAAGTATAAATCTATAAATCCATAATCGAGTACAATTCAAGGCACGCAGGCCAACCAACAAATACTAAACTAACTAAGCTAGGTCCTCATGTCCATCTAGCGCACCCTGAAGCTACTGATATGCACCTGAAAACATGCAGTGTAACAACCGTCAGCGAATAATGCTGGTAACCCACTCCCACACGTTAAGTACAATATAGGTAGATATAAGAAACCATTTTGAAACCGGAATACGTATATAATCCTAAACAAACACTAGCTTTAAAACCAAGATCAAGACCCAAGGCATAATAACAGGTTTAGCATTACGAATCATCACAAAGGTACTAGCATACATCCTAGCTCGCAGGATAAGACAACCACAGAGCTCAACAATAACAATCAATAACAACAAGAAGGCATAACAACAAACAACAGCAACAACAACAATCATATCACAATCCGGCCTTATACCAGGTTCCAACCTTTACTCCTCTCCATCCTTATCTCAGTTCCAACCTGTACCTCCAGACCACCCTTATAACACCACCCCCTTATCCCTCCGGAGCACTTCATGGCTCCCCTCCAACATATCTCCAACATGCCACCGATTTGATAGCACCGCAGTACCATTAACACATGACCCGTGCCTATAGCACTATAATCAAGGGGTCTTGCATATAGCACGAAGACATGGCACCATATCGCTCATAACTTGATCTATGCCTTTAGCAAACTAATCAAGGTTGGTCCATGCCTTCAGCACAATAACCGAATGGTCTGTGCCTTTAACACAATAACCGGGCACTTGTTGTGCCAAACTGCAACAATTCTTTTCCACCAATCACATCCCTTTATCATCAGGTACAATTAGTCAGTCAATCACACGCACAATCAACGCAGTGGCCACCGCTCAATAACAACAACAATCAATACACATCAACACATAGCAAAGGGTAGTCAAAGGGAAGGACACGATAATCACATAGACTTTCATCAACAAACGTCATCAACATAAACGCGCAACCCACAGGATACGGCCTAAACTCTACTTCCCAAGATAATGAGACAACCACAAGACACACACGGGATCATACAAATGTCATCCTAGGCCAACGGGATACCAACTTAACCACATGCAATCACCAAGACTCACAACTCCTAAAACGGTACCCAAAACATCAAACGAGACTCATAAACATCAAACAGGGCACAACGGGACACGGGGAAACAACAAGCGGGGTAAAACATCACAATACACCGCCCCGTTCCAGCGAGCGGACGACCACCCGCCGGTGGGCGGCTATGCACCAGCGGGTACACGGCGGGCGGTCAACCGCCCGCCGGCCACTCGCTGGTATGGCGAGTCTGTTCTGGCGGGTGGTCAGGTGGGGATTCATCCCCCCACCGACCCCCCACTGGTACAATTGTAACTTGGTACTTTTCCTAACTCGGGAATTCCTCAATTATACCCAAAACCAAGTCCAAATACATCCTAATACACAATAAAAACAATATGGACTTGAACCACAAGAATTAAGCCAAGGAACCAACACAAACAAATCCTAAACACATGCTCCTAATATATCAAGATTTAAGAATCAACTCCTAATCATGGAAGAACAACGAGAATCACAAGAACACCAAGATTCCATCAAATAAACCCTAATGACAAGCTCTAGACATGCCCAAACGCAAGATCACACATATAATCAATCATAACATCAAGATCATCAAGATTATCAAATAAACACAACATAAACCCTAGGCAAAGCTCTAACAAGACTCAATCACAGAATCACACACACAATTATCAGAGGAGCCAATAATCAAGATATAGTAAGGAAAATAGGTTTTGTAAGACATGGGTTACCTTTTAGTCTTAATTAATCCTCCCTTGGCTATTAAGGTTCTTTCCCAAGATTTCCTCCTGATTGATTTTCCTAGGCTTGGTGGTGGGGAATTCCTTTGGCTAGGTTCCCTGGGCAATCCGTGTATTCAGAGTTATGAGAGGTGAGAGGGTTCTAATTGCTTTCTAATCGCCTATTTATAGAGTCATAAATCCTAATCAGAGTCTGGATAGCAGAAGGTCTATTTTCTTTATTCCTATCGGGCTTGTTGTCTTTAATATGGGCAAGGGCCCACGATCCATCATGGACCACATTAATTAATAAGGGGATTCTAACCAGTTTAAGTCTCTTTTAATTATTTATCTACTGAATTAATTCCATAATTAATCTGGGTTTGAAGGCCGTAACACAGGGTGTTACAAATAGTCACGACAATGGTTAATGCAACATGCTCATACGGCCCCATGCTCTGTGTAGCTACATGAGACCGGCCACGAGACGTCGACGCCGCACGACAAGATCGGCCACAAGGCCGACCACGCTGCCGGGCAACCGGCTACTCCGTAACGGTCGGCTCGCTGGACACGGACTCGGTAGCGGCAGCCGGCTGGTGATGCGAGGCAGCGGGTTCGGTAGTGGGCTCGGCCGTGGCGTCATCCAGGTAAACTGTATCTCCTCCAGCAAGTGAAGGCGCAACGGCCCACGGTTCCGGGTTCGGTGTAGAAACCTGTAAATCAACACGAGCAACAAAAGGAAAGATAGTCTCATCGAATCGCACATGGCGACAGATAAAAACTTGTTAGTGTTAGTGTCCAAACAACGATAGCCACGAAAAGACAGAGGATATCCAAGAAAGACACAGGGAGAAGACCGAAACTGTAGTTTGTTGCGGTTATAAGGACGCAAGTTAGGAAAGCATAAACACCCAAAAACCCGGAGGTAGGAATAAGACGGAGGAGATCGATGCAAGAGATAATGTGGAGACTTATCAGATAATACATGAGTGTGCATTTTATTAATTAAGTACACAGCGGTTTCAAAAGCATAATCCCAAAAATGAGACAGGACAGACGCCTGAGCCATCAAAGCCAGACCCGTTTCAACAACATGCCGATGTTTGTGCTCCACCCTCCCATTTTGCTCATGAGTATACGCACAGGATTGCCTGTGACGA